ACACGCACCAACACAATCGGCCACGTCCATATTGAATGTGCGCTGCCGAACTGAATTTCTGTCGAAAGATCTTATGCGGAGTTAGGAATGATGGCTTCAAAATACTTGCAGGCAAAATCACGAGGATAAGTAACATACGTTTCTAACAGACGGCATGTTCTAATTACCAGAGGAGGAGCAGCAATTTTCACAAGAAAATATATTTTTTCACAAGGTTTACCACTTCAAATGATGCTTGAAGCAGATGCGTTTAAGAGAAACTAAATTGTGTAGTAAAGTTTGTAATAGACCTTCCAGTCTACAGATTACTAATTTACGAATTAGACAATAATCCAATGCAGCCGCAGAAGCTCTACATTGTAATGAGAGACTGTCAGTCACAACAACTTATGGGGACCATAAGGAGAACACTAATTGAAGAGTAGCTGGAACATCAGAATGAATTCAATCACAACACGGGAATTGCGACATATTTCAATATGCGTAATGACACGGTGTGTAATTGATTTAAGCTTTGCATCTTCTGAATTTGCATCAAGAATTTCCGTAAAATTAATACAACACAACATGAGAGTTATGATTATTCTCGACATAAATTGGACGGACTAGGAAGAAACTGCCGAACAAAAAAATACCCTAAACGAACCATCAACGGAGCTAATGGGCTCCTCTTTCAAAATATTGTTGGCAGTAATATTGTCACGTCACATTGCATCGCTTTAGTGATATCAAATCAAGAGGATAATTATAGATTTTATCAATATATGATCATAGATGTAGCCAAAATTAGCAATTCCCAAAAACTTCAAAGTAAGAAATCAAGTACCATGGCGGAAAAATGAATGTTCATAATCAATAAATGACAAAAAAGAGCGTACAGAAAGGTCATGAAAATAAAAAAGTAGAAAGTAATATTGCCTACAAGAAAGCAAAAGAGAAATTCCCTAAAACCATTTTATTCTACAATAGTCCAGTCACAGCAACAATTTACTTCCTCCGTATCAAACCAATCGTCAATCTCCGAAATTTGGCACAAAATTTGATGTTATTAGTGATTAAAAAGCATCGGATCCACCAAAAGTGTTAATAGACAAATATGAAAAACAACATATTTGCCTTCAGGATATGAGTAATATACTCACCGACTCCTTTGCAGAAAATTCAATTAATTCAAATTAAGTACAATCCCAAATAGAGAACATCCGGAACCAGTACAACCGGCCATTTTACATGCACAAACTCCTCTATGTGCTTCACGATACTAAAAACTCCGCAGCAGGACCGAATGACGTAACCTACATTTTCTCAACAATCTTACAGAAAAAGATCTGAAATACCTTCTTCAAATACGTAATATCATCTGGAAAATACAATCCTTCCCTAACCAATGGAGAGAAGCCATTGTAAATCCGTTACCTAAATCTAATAAAGATCACTCAAACCCAACAAATTTCCGGCCCATTTCTTTAACCTGCAATACATGTAACCTTCTATAAAAAATAGTGAGCCTGAGATGAATCCTGAAAAGGCTGATTTCATCGTACCTAATCATATTTAAAGCATTCCATTCGACCAGTGATCATTTACGTAGTTTAGTCACTGAACTATGGGACGAACTATCTGTCAAGAGCACTCGTGGCTCAGGGCTAAAGTCGCTTGCCTTTCACCGCTGAATCACCGCTGAAGTTCCGGGTTCGATTCCGAAGAACCTCGTTAAATTTGGTACGACAAAACGAGTTTCCCTGCTTCAAGGGGAATAAGTCATTCTCTTCAGATTGCGCATCGGATACTTCAAATTATGTCACGGCAACCCAATTGCAAAAAAACTATCCATAACAATGTCCCAAGTGCGGAGCCCAAGTAACAATCACAAATCCTCTTCTTGAAGGTATGATCACTGTAAGTGAGATGCTTGGAACGAACACAGACCTCGATTTCAGGGCAGGGGAATAATGAGAGAAAATTTTAAGATTATCGCAATCAACTAGGTGCGTTGCACAGGTCATTTCATTATCCGTATTATAAAGATTTTTAAAAACGTAATTTCTATGATTATGCAATCAACTTTACCGTTGTGGAATGTTTCTGATTCCTTAACATTATATCAAATTTCTTGGCTGTCCATGGAGGGCATTATTGTAGTGTAATTGTACATTATCGTAAATAAATGTGAATTACGGTAATTGCTCATGACCTGAGCAGTTGTAAAGCGTTATTAAATAAATTAAATTTAAAAAAATATCACATTTTAATACCTAATGAAAATATTTTTCATGTTTTCACAATACGCAATATTCAGTAAGATTTTCTCTTTAAATATTTACGTTTTTCTTTAAAGTGTTCTCTATTATAAAGCTTCTTGTTGAAGCTGCTGGCATAAACATCGCAATGTTTTACTTCTAAGAATTTACTCATTTATTCAACACGCATTCACGCAATTATTTTATTTGTTTCACTGGTTTAAAAATTGCCCTAAGAGATATCTTCTTGGAACAGAGCGAGTCTGTGCCGTAACATGCGCAAATCGACAACCAACACAGTTCAGCAAAGGTTTCCAGAACTCCTGTTGTGACAACCACACACATCCAGCATCCAGCGTATCTATGCTTAAAGGTAAAACCGCATCGCATTTGTCGCATTGACACTTCCGCTTAGTGGGAATACGCTGTTGCGGTTACGCGACAAAATTCGGAAGTGTCGGTGGTGAAGCTTTGCTAACGGTTAGCGGAACGTCATTGTATTAGCTCTTACAATATTGCGGAAAAAGTATTGTCAATTAACAATATAATTCCATGAGAGTTCCTAAATCAATAAATTATTATGGAGGATAATTTTTTTGAAATACATTTTCAAAAGAATTCTAATGCGATTTTGATACAAAGTATCTTCATGATTTTATTTTCTTATCAATTATATTACAGTTAACACAATACAATACAGCATTACAAAAAGTCTATTCAAATAACTAAATAAGTATTTTTGAAACCGAGTTGTACATTGTTCTACCAGTCTCATATAACAATTTGCTTTGTTAAAAAACACCTCTAGTCTATTTGCCCATCGTGGATGATCCTCCTGCCACGTTAAATATTTAAACAAATTACGTATGTATACCAATTATTTTAATAGAACACAGTAGATCAAAAGCATCCGCTTTGATACTGTTTATTATTTGAAGTGTATCAATATTGTTTTTGATAAAATTATTCCGGCATATTTTTGGCAATTTTCGATCTAAATTTACAGAAAACTTTTAAACTAACCTAACAAACTTCCGCTATTAATAAAATTTAACAGGAGATTTGAGTGATACAAAGTTGCATTTTTGTGTCAACGGTAAGTATTAAAAAGTACGCAAGGGAATTTGGGAATGCTATTTTTACCTCGTATTAACCTGTATAAATACAAAGCAATACTTTCTTCATTACATTTTGAGTAAGAATACGCTTACAGAAAACCCGTTATAAGCATGCTCTTTGAATAATTGCAGAACATTAGTTTCATATCAATTCAGCATGAATCATTTTTATTGGCAATGAGCAACATTGTAAAAGTTCAGAAAATTTCTGAATGAATTGTCACGATTAAAATAGCCAACTCTCTGATAGTTTTAGTTATTCTTTGGCATATAATTAACAACGAAACTACCCAACGTTACCCTTTTTTTCATATCCAATCCTAATGAGAGTAAAAAGATCAATTTTACATAAATCACGGATTTCAAGATTATTATTTTTAGTTTAATTGGTCCAAATTTTAGTAAATTACTATAATTTTCATTTAATTTTATTTTACAGAACACTACTGATTTTTTAAAACTAAAAATGGTTAAAATTTTTATCTTTTTTACTCACTTCTACTAGCCTCAAGCAAATATATTAGTTACCAGTTCTGCTGCACCACTATTGGAATCTGGCGGAATATATTTGAAACCAATCTGCTCTTAGCGACAGGCTAAAAATATTGGTCCTGGTGCATCTACCAACATCGTATTTCAATTATTTATTTTATGCATTTGTGTTGTATTCATCTTTACAAACTTTACAAGGACACTGAAGAAGAGCTTGTAAAAATGTATTTATTCAGACGCTACTTTCAGTTTTATTAGTATAGATTGTTTTCAAGACACAATTGTACAGCTTATAAAGAAATTAACATGTACTCAGTTTTAAAACTAAGACATTCCATATTCTTTTTCCTAAGAATATTGCATCTTGTCTTATTGAAATGAATAATTGTCAAAATATTGACTACGACATCAATGACTTGTAACCAGAGACATCCCAATACTATATAGTGCAAATGGCATTATTTCTAAAGTGAGAACAAAACATTCGCTATAAAAGCGAAACAAGACCAAAGTGGTACATACTGTTCCTAGATGGTCATTATATGACACTATGAGGCACTATGAATTTTTTCCCGATGATTTGGATAGCTATTCCGGATGAACGGCCATTCCGGAGATCTTTATACATATTATCGACTTTTTCTTCATAAATAAAATATAATACAATAATATAATGCGAGTGTCCAATTTTCTTCCAGTAATAAGTAACACCGTGTAATGACCGTAAAATGTCATTCTAAATAATGTTCCTTAATGGTGACCCTGTCATTTGTTATATTTAAGTCAATATATAATGTTTAACTGATCGGTCGCGTGTTCAATGTCTTAATTAATATTAAATGTAAATTTATAATGTTGTTAAAGTAATAATTCATATTTTGTTCTGAATATTGTGTTGTTATATTTTTGTATGCTTGAAGATATAACCAATCAGGTTACACAACCTTGAACTTCTTATTTATTCTTCTAAACAATAAGTTTAAAGGAAAGTGTCAAAAAATTATGAATTTAATTATAAAAGGGTTTTCCAAATTTAAGTAACGCATACAATTGGATGTTAGAGATTTTTACATCTACATTTAGAAAAAAGCAGACATTTAAATTGCTGACATTTCGATCCTTTGGGGAATCATAATTCGAATCTTAAAAATTAAGGCTGAGTAAAGTAAAAATAAAAATAAAAAGCACTTGTTTTACATCACTCTGCCATTATTTAAATGACACGAATAAGATCTCAATAATAATCTAAACATCAACAATTTAGTAATCAGCTGTTCAAAATTTTCTTATCTATTTAGCAACAAAAAAGTTGAAGCCTGTTATCATTAGGTATTCTTTTACATAATTTTTTTTTCATGATGTGAAAGGCACACACTATGTACGCTATTTAAATGCTAAGATCTATTGTTGGTGGGGGTTTTGTTTTCAATTTTCATGTATCAGAAACATTAAAACTGTATATGTTTGAGAGAAGGCTACTTTTAGAGTTCAAAGGGACGACATGCGCTCTTTTCAATGGATTAAAGAAACAACAAAAAATACCGAACGTTATGAAGGTGACCGTTTCTAAAGTGAATAAAAATTGTTATTAAATATTTTACCCCTATAGAATTCATACATATTTCCTTTTTATATTCAGTATGTACTCTAGTGGTATAAAAGTAATGCATCAGAAAATATTTTACCCTTCATTCATTTCTTCATAATGGAGAACCGCGTGGAAGTAATTTTTACTTGGTCACTAACATACTGTTAGTGCTATGGTACAATAAATATGGACAAATAAAATACTGCCTAACAATTGTTTGTTAGGTTCAATTATTCTTTTGAAAAATTATATTTTTTAAAGTATGTTACGGAATATTCTGCGAAAGAGGTTTACGCTAGGCTTCCCTCCGAGCACTTCTGCATGGAGCAGGTTATTCCACATCACATGACAGAGTAATTGACATTCTTGTTGTGAAAACAGTATTATTGTTTTCAAAATCTAGACACATAAAGATAACTCACTTCTTTATTACCCAGAAAATTGATTATTTGTACATAACGATTATATCGAATTAACGCATACTTCGCAAGGGATGATTAACTGATGCTCCGAATATACAAAATATAAACATTTCAGGTTTATATCTGTTTTAAAACGATTATTTTACTCCTCTGTAAATGTATTTTGCAAAATATTAGTAGTTTATTGAACATTTTAATGAATTTTTACATATTAAAATTTCTCTAAGAATTCGACTGGTTAAAAACATGAAAAAATATAAGTCAGTTCAATCATTATGTAATATTACATGTTCAATTTTCTATACAAAAATAAAAATGAGGGCACAACACAAGTACTCTTGGCTAACGAATTGTATTCAGTCTTTCATTCAAGTGCTAAAGAGCTATAAAAAAGAATTACCGTCCGCTCGATTACGCCTTCCGAGCAATATTAGATTCTTTCCCATTTAGTCTGGGTCCAGAAATGATGGGTGACCCTGCCGAGAGAATGTTTAATTCCTCCGTGGCAGTAAAAGAATACTCCTGCTAGGTGTTATGAATATCACTATTTCGGCCCACTGGGTGGTGACCCTCTCGGGCCAGTTGTACAGGCAGGGTGGCACGAACCTGTACTCTCATGATTATGCGAGTCTCAGCATCATGCAATTAGTAGTGATTATAGATCCCTGAAACAGAAAATGCCTCCGACTACGCTATTTCGTATCTACTTGCCAGGAGAGTTCTAATTGAGTTATGGCGTATACTGGGAATCCATCCAACCTTTACCAAAAATTAGTATTAATACCCCACCCAGGTCGACCCTGAGGTTCACTCAGCCTCCTTCGAAAATTAGTACCAATATTTAATGGTTTTATTAACAGTAAATATAGTTGAAAATACGCACATGAAACATGGCGCTTGCCACGCCAACATTCACTTCCAGAAAACATATAAGATGTATCTCCTCTTAATTTACAGAGGACCCTGGAGGTGGGGAAACGAAAGCCAAAACGATAATACGCAAAGGAATTCTAACCTCATGTAACCCTAAGCAGGTGGTTCCCACAGTGCATTATTGTACAAATTGTACAATTAAAAATAAAATTAAAAAAAATACTATACAAAATCCATCACTTCACTTGTTACTAGCATAAGCGTGCACCCAGGGTGGGCAGGGAACTGTGACGCCCGTGAAAATTTGGATAGAGGCCCCGTAGCCTTACATAATAAAACATTTTATTTGAATAAACGTGATCAAAACTTGCAGCTACCCCTTGTTTTTTCGCTGCGGACGCCTATGGTTGCGAGTGCTATTTCTCCTCGTCTCCTGAACCCTGCCTGTCGGGGCTATCGGGCAAGAAGATATTAAATGGCGGCGGGCGTTCAGGTTGCGCTACTCTCTGTATCTAGTCCGTTAGGCGATGACGCGGCGGGGAAGCCGCCCCAATGGGACGAGCCCCTTCCCCTCCCCTCCCTCCCCTCCTGGGCAGCGCTCAGGGAGGCGCTGACCCGTGGCGCGCGGCGGAGCGGAGGCAGCCGGCGGACCGCTCCAGGGAGGAGCCGCCTCCCAGGTGGAAGCACCTTGGACGCGGGGCGCGCGCCAGGGCCTAGCGACTCCCCATTGGCCATGTGGGCGAAACCAGCGGGTGCGAGGGCAGGGGATCGGTGGGGCTTTGCGCACAACGTTTGCAAACATTCCACGATACAAATTTGACGCCCTTGTGGGAAACAGAAATACGCTGGAATGACGTATTTGTAATGATAATTCGTGCGTGAAAAAACCGCGCCAGCTTAAAACACGAACATTCGCGCGGACTTTTCCACTGCACGCACCCACTTGTGTACCCCCCAGTGCATGAGTGGCCCACGCGCCTTCTTGCATAGTTCGCAGCAGTCTGTTGATTGTCCTTTCCGGACACATTAACTGCTATGGTCATTAGTCCCGTTACTGTGGTAAATGTTTCATCCCAAGAGTTGGCGGTGTTTCTCCCCCGCTGGATGGCGAGGTCCTGTGCTGACGTACGCGTCAGCTTGCAGGCAATTTCCGCCTCCGGGTATTCCCCCCAACCGGAACAAGCAGTAAGCTGCGGACATGCGTGGTAGTGTTATGCATGTACGCCTGGGTGTAGGGGAGAGGACAGGGGAAGTGAGAAGGAATGATCGCGCGCCGTCCGTCACTCGTTTGTTAGGGCACTGCATCGGCATTCTCTGCAGCCATCTACCTTTTGGTACCTGCAGGAAGGTGAAAGGGCAGAGCGCGCCGTTCTAAGCGTGTCTACTTGTTTATACCGGAGTTGAAAGGCTCTGGCTAGTGGTAGAAGCGGGCAGTGGCAGGTGTTACGAGTCCCGCAGTTTGGGGAGTGTCAGCTTGGCGGCGGCGCCGCGAAACGGGAAAAACTGTGAGCACGCTGCGAGGGAGCCACGCCGTGGCGGAGGGAGGGTAACGGCACCAGGCAGGCGGCAGGGTGCCGTGGCGCTGCATGCCACAGGTGGCGGGTTTCATCGCCGGAAAGGGTGTATCAGGCGAAGAACAACCGCCGGAAACGGTAGGCACTGTGTCACGGCGGGAACAGGCACACGAAACATCTCCCTGCGTCAGAACGTGACTTGCCAAACATCAGCGCATGCAAAGTTGCCTACTCATCAAAAGCAAATGTTCTATGTGTAACATGGTTAAATGAAAGTTCCCGCTGTATGTTAATGACAAAAAGTTATTATCTTTGATCCCTTCCCATGTGAGAGTCGTTTGCCACATTTACTCTGAAGCACGCGTATAGGGAAAACGTTTCATGTGATCACAACATACTCAAAACATGGCCGTCGATCGTTAAACTGAAGAGACTATTCAATACCGACCAATAACCAGAAGAGATGCCATAAGACCACTGAGTCAAATAATTCAGTAGCCCTAAATGGTAGAAGAAATAATTTCGTGGAAGCACATACTTTCTCGCATTATTTGTATTTTCTCAGTTTTCTAAAATTCAAAGGGTTCAAAGAAAATAGCACCGTGCCAGTTTTATAAGCATATTTATATTCGTCTCAATTGCAGATATTTTTTTAAAATTCGAACTGGCTTTAGGACACATTGTTAATTGTAATTGCTTCATGCAAAAATTACGCAGGCCCAGGTGCGTTGGGGAAACACAAAAGCGGAGCAAAAGGACGGGGCATGGAAGCAGCGGTTCGGCGCTTAAATGATGGGGCCATGCGGCGCGCAGAAGGACGGCACAGCGTGGCGAGACGAGCGGAGCGGAGCTGGACAGGGCTCGAAACGAGAAGGGCAAGGCGGAACCGTGCGGAGCGGAACCGTGCGGAGCGAAACGGTGCGGAGCGAAACGGTGCGGAGCGAAACGGTGCGGAGCGAAACGGTGCGGAG